ATCTGGCGACCTGTTGTTACGTTTCGGTTTCGGCGACACCACAGGCGTTGCCTGGGGACAAACCTAGAATTAACGAGAACAAAGCTCGTGCTTTGTACCGTTTCATTTGTACTGCCCTTTAGTTGCTTTAAGCAGCATCAGTTTTCAAGAGGTGCTGTCACGTTTTATTCTGGGAGCCTACCTGGGCTTGTTCGCTGCTCTTTTCCTGTGTCAGTAACAGTGGCACAGCAATTCGGTAAGTTAGCCTGTTTGGGGTATGCTTTTCCTTACTATCCACAGTCAGCACTTTCCCTCTGCCTCTGACAGTTGTGCCGAGCGGTAGCTGTATCTCCTAATTCTGTCAACTAGGGACAAATGGGATATCCAAATAACCTGTGGCAGACTCAAGAGAACTGGGGCAAAAGGGGTGGCTGTAGTCAAGATACTGCCCTAGGCACCGAAATAAAATGACTTTGTGGAAAGGCCATAACTCCTACCCAAGTTTAGAATTCACTTTTTGTGGCTTTGTGGTTTATTAAAGAGCCCTTTTGTAAAGCTGCTCTGATCCCAACATAGAGATCATAATAAAAACATTCATCTTTCAATTCTCTTCTAACTTCTGCAGTTTAGGACAGTTGGATGCTAGTTGTTCCCAAACGTATTTATTTTTGGTTAAACTTGGGTATCCAGATCCATTACACTAGCAGTTGTGAGCTAAATGCATGCTCCATTACTGATACAAACTGTATAAACTACATAAACCTTTTCCTCACAGGGGCTGAGATTTTCACAGTTAGATGTCTGAGTACCTTGGAGACTGGTATTTGACAGCCTTTAAGAATCTGCATATAAACTGCTGAGAGTGTCAATACCTGCAGTCTGATCGAGAAGCAGGGAGACTTCTAGAGGTCCGAAGCCATCAGAGCACAGTGCAGGTGATCATAGAGATTTGATGCTTAGACTTGCATAATAGCAGAAAGTTGTGTTTCTGCTGCCCTGCCTTCTTGTTCATTATGTGCTAAAAGAGGGTGTATAAACGTGGAATGAGGATGGACTTCTTCACTGGTGATAATCAGTTACAGAGTTTAGTAGCAGATTCTGTAACTGTCTGTTAAAGATATTTATTTGAAATAATAAGGCCAGTCAGTAAAGCGGAGCTCAGCGGTGCCTGGTCCTGCCGTTGACTTCTATGGGTGTAGGATAAAGCCTGTGATGGATATATGATAACAGTACTGATGGTTGTTATCTCCAGCTGTCTCCTAAATATAATTGTTAATTGAATTTCCCCTCAAGAACTACATCATGACTATACAACAGCTGCAAGCTGATTAGATTTAAAGCTGCTGACAAGGGCAAATCCTGTTTTCTGATCTTTATACTCAGATTAGCTCTGCTTAATTTTTTTTTTTTAAATGGCTAACTAAATGCTGAAGCATTTTATAATGAGAAGGAAAGCCACAGAAAACTGAAGTAAGATAAGCAAAGGCTGTGATGCTCAAATATTCCCATGGCATTTTCGTGAAGAAAATATTTACTCCATATCCTTATATGACTTCTGTCTCAGATATTATTTTTGTTATCAGTGCAGAGCAATACTAAAACTGTGCAGCAGGAGATGATCTCGTGTTATATTCATGTGTCTGAAGAGTGACACTACTTTGCTTTACAGGGGTCAAGTAATAATCAGTGCTATAATGTTCTTTTGGAGAAAAGTACTAGTAAATCAGCATTATATAAATATGGTTTTACCAGGGGCCTAAAGGTGGTTCTATGCTACTCTATAGCTTTCCTATCATGAATTTTTCCCGTAACGTTTTGGGAAAGCAAAAGTTTATAACCACTTTTAGCACACCAAATTACTCCTTTTTTCAAAGCTTTAGTGACAGTCATTATTCTGCATTATGGGCTGAGACTAGGATAAACAGATACTTTGCTAATTTCGCTTGACTAACGTATTAGAAGGGGTCCAGCCTTTCTGAACAGATACTGAAGAAACAAAGTTAATTCTACCTTTTCTCATTTTCCTAGACCTATACCTTTAATAGGGAAAATATGACAATTTTGTTGTGTGTTTAATACTTCTCAAATATCTTTCAATTCCTAAAAGATTTTGTCACCTATGTCTATTTTTACTATAATTTTAATTGTGATTTGGAGGGTATTGGTTGACATCTTTCATAGTGGCTTTAAAATTAGATTCTTTTGCCTCATATTTACACTATGCAGAACAATCTATACATGAATTTGTGTTCAGGAGTTAAAAAAATGAAACTTGATGGTCAAATTTCTATGTGGACAACTACGTCTTGTTTATTATTTTGCTGGTAAAAAGAGGAATAAACAAAAGGTGTATCTGAACACCATGAAATAAATAGTTTTATCATAAATTTAGATAAGAGTCAATTGATTAAGTGGCTCAGAAGCTGAAATTAAAAAGAAAAAATCCATGGTTAAGGGTAAGTGAAAATGTCTATGGAATATTCTAAATGTGTCTTGAACCTAAGAAATCTGAAATTACTTCTTTTCTAACATTTACAGGCAAATCTTTTTTCCTACTCAGTTGTGATAGTGGATTGTCCAAACAGCAATTTCCAGTGTGGAAAAATGTTCATTACATTTGAAGAATGACAGAGTTTATTTAGACTTGGAAGGAAAAAAAAAAAATCAGAGTTATAGTCCAATTTTTTGAAATTGAAATCGGCAGATATGTAAGGAACTTCAAAGCTGCATTCTGTTGCTTCATCTCTACATTATCACAAAAAATTAGAACTGTAGATATTCAGGGAATATCTGAATATGTAAACCACAGTTTCTGCCCTTTGGGCCTGAGTTTAATTTTTCACACTTTTCTAGGTGTTTTTCAATTTGAATAAACATTCCCAACCTCAGGGAGCTCATTTCATCTGAGCCAGCAGACCTCCACATCTGTGACTGTTTTACCTCAGACACGCAAGTGCCTTCCACTGGAATTAAACACCTACCTTTCAGGAAAGACTGTGCGAAGTCAACAAGATCATCACATTAAAGTCATCATGCTAAATAATCTGACCCTCTCATTCTGAGAAATATGATTCTTGTTTTCAGAATCTGCAATGAGGAAAGAGATGATTCTGAGTCCGTTTGTAATTACATACATAAAAGCATATATATAGTACTTGTACTTTCCAACTATTTTCTGTATATTGATTAATTTACTAATAACATTTGTCAATTTAAAAAAAAAGAACCATTTCTTTCCCCTAGTATACTAACATTCTGCTGTTTAAAAGGAGAAAAACAATGCGTTTTACAGATATGTTTTACCAAGTGAGTTAAAAATAAATTTGTTCTTCAAGTTTGCAATGTGTTTTGGCTGTAGCAGTGAGTAAAAGCACATTTGGTTCCCGAGTCAGATGATAAAGAACTAGCTTTCACAACAAGGAATCCGTCTGTGCTGCTTGCATCAATAGCTTTTTCCTCTCTTACTAAGTAGGAGGAATATGAATTGAGAGCAAACTAAATATGGTTGCCACCTGTTGTTTTTGGCATTAAATCTTGAGATTTGATGAATCCAAGTTAAGTGTTGAAGTTGTGAAAAAAATACAGTCTTTCCATTCATGAGAAATTTCAGACGTTAACAGGGGCTTATGTCAAGTTGCACATTGTTCACACGTTCCCTTGTTGGATGGCTTGCTGCCGTAGGTCAGCTAACACCAGCACTGTCATCAGTATTTAGGAAACTTGTCACTCAGCCTGAACTGTGGTTTCTACTATCTCATCTTTCAAGCAACTTCTTTTCCCACGTGGACGTTTTGTTTAGTGACCCATCTGTCCTTTCTGACCTAAGTTAAGAGTGGAATTTGGTGAGTGACAGGCTTCTGTGTATTTTGCAATTTGGAAAATAACACCCAATCCAACAGGATATGTCCTGGTCCGTGACCCCCATACCTCAGAGAACCCCACTACAAAATACAGTAGCATAATTTGCTTTCTTCTTTGAAACAGAAGCGTCCTCAGACTTACTCTTATCCCAGTGTGTCTCAGTCGGTCTGTCATCCAAAGCAGGTGGTGAAAGACTCCAAAGACCCTGAAGAAGCTGCTGCCATGCTGCTCACCAACTTTCAGGCAAGGTGGTAGTAACTTACTTTCTCCAAGAATAAGCATCTGTAAGTACTGCCTGCAAATCTTTACCCTAACAAGGGCATTTTAATTGCAAGGAGCTGCTCCCTTTCAGGATGGAGACCTGAGTCTGTAATTACTGCCTGCTCTGGAAGGGTATGCTCCCCTGCCTCAGGGAAACTGAATTGCTGCAAGGATTTAAAGGCGGAACCAGCTCCTTGGCTGGTGTAAACACTAAAGAGCAGTAATTACAGCTGCTCCTCTCCCCTCCTGCTCCAGGGAACTGAACTGCTTCTGTTCCTACTTTCTTGAGAAACAGTGAGCAGTAGGATTAGTCAGTCTAACCAGTCTTTAGAGGTGTGTGAATGCAATTACAATCCTTAGTTTTAAGTCAAAGAAACAGAAACACCGATTTGAAAAAACAACACGTTTATGCTGGTTTGTAGCTAGAAAATTACATCTCAAGACAAAAGTGTCCTCTTGTACTTTATTTTGAAAAAATCTGAGATACGCTGCTGTAGCCAAATATGGGAAAATTTTTCATGAGCCAAATACTATAACAAACTTAGAAACACAGGTACGGCATCAACTTCTGTTTTACAGAGCATTTATCCACTTGGAGGATGGGGGCAGGAGGTCATTGCAGCTTCTGAATGAGGTGCTAAGGAACTTCAGCTTCCTGTTTAGTATGGCAGAAAAACACTTTCTTCTGGAGAGTGATTCAGAGTTGCTAATTTTAGGTGCCTAAAGTGAGGCTTGATTATATGTTTTCATTGAGGGAAGGCAGGAGGGTTGGGGGGAGGGCGTTCAATATGACCTAAAGCACATGCACTGTACGCTGATACAGTTCTGTTCGTATAATGCCTGCTTAGGTGCACATGTTCCAGTGTAAGTGGAACTTTTCTCAGTTGACTTATTATGTTTGGGAAGGTATTTGAGCAGAAATATAAAGGCTCTCATTAATGGGTTACAGTCTTAACGTGGGCCCCTGTTCCTGCATCATTTGCACAACTTTTCCTGCATAGTAGGCTGACAATATACGCAGCGTTGCGCCTCACATTCCTGGTGTTCTGGTTATGAGAGTTTTAGGGATTAAATTTAACCTCACTTATATCAGTCCACAAGATATTATTGGGCCTCCTCTCTTTCCCAGTTAAAGTTAGCGGATTAATGTTTTTACAGACAGTCACTGTTCATACAAAGCCAGGACCACTCCTCCCTGTTGAGAGTCTACTGAGATAAATTAACTTATAGCAGAATTATTTTCTCTCTCCACTTCCTGGATTTATTTGCTTTAGGTGTCTTATTGGTTAAGATTTGGAAGGGAAAATTGTCTCAAATCCACACATGAGAATCTGGCTTTGATAGTCTGTTACCTTTACATGTCTGAAGTTCCTGGAGATATCCCTGGAAATTGTTGCACCTGCAGGGAGAAAAAAATAATAGACTTGAGCCTCATAATAGGAGCCTGCTGCTGATTTCCTTCCAAATTACTCATAGCTATTTGTAATAAATAAAGAATAATTCCTTTGATATGAAATAAATGCAGTCAACTTTGGTGAAAGAGGTTTTATTTTTTTTTCAGTCGTTAAGTCACTCAGACATGGATTTTTATGTCTCACCCCCTTGCCAAACAGAAACCAGCTGCAAAAGAGCATGAGATGACAGCAGTCTTGCAAAGGTCAATTCTAGGGATTCTGCTGCTCTAGGAAATTCAGGAAACACAGTCCCCTCGCAGCCTGCAGTGACTTGGATAGAAACTGCTCAGTATGTATTTTGCTGTTTCATACAGCCTAGCTACTGTTTGCCCAAAACAATCGTGGCAGGCCTTACCCTAAGGGTTTGACTAACTCTGATGTTACTTTCTCTCTGTGGTAGATGCATCTGTTTCATCTTCATTTGCAGGTCTCAATTCTTTGGTTTGTCTATTTGTTTGTCTCCTTCCAGTTGCCAGTTTTAGGACTCCCTGATTTATCAAAATCAGGTTATCAAAATGACAATTATATACAACCTGTCTGGCAGAGAGGTATCTGGTGACTTTGAAATGAGATCAAATTGTGAAAAGTTAACCTGCATTTGATAGTGCACTACTTCAGGAATAGTCACATTGACTTCAGTGGGGTATCACATACAGCAGGGTGCTTATTAGCATTAGTGTTTTAAGAGAGCCCTTCAAAGCACGTTTTGATATCACTGATGAACCAGCAAACAGGTTGTGTTCATCTTAAAATGCCTGTAGTCTACTGTAGTACTACTGCTTTTGAATTAGGCATTGCCTCAAAATGCTGTCTTGCATATTCTTCCAGTTAGGAGAAGAAATCGGCAATGTGTGCTAACTACTCAGTCTATTAAAAAAATATATATGAAATCTCTTTCCCCAGCTCAGGATAAATCAAAAATCAGCCAAAAATCTTCATTCAGATTTTCAGTCTTGTTTCAACCAGCATTCACCCCTAATAACTGTTATGTTTCCAGGGCCGGAGCTCCAGTGTTTGTTTGGGCTTTTCCACTCTTTCTCGTTTGCTTGCTCATTCTTCCAAGGTATGGATCAGAAATACTTAAATATTTATGAATTGTGGAAGAGAGGCAAGCACCCTTAAACATTCCCTTAAGCAACCAATCCTCTCTCCCCTGCTAAAGAAATATTTATACTTTGCTTCTGGCTGCATGGCTTTGTGCATTAAATCTGCATGGCAGACTTTTTGGCCCATTCCTAAAGAAGCAGCTTGTCTCATGGGGTATTACGGAGACATCCAGCAGATTAACAAACCTTAGAGGAGATCACGTGAAGCAACCTCGGAGCTATCTGGCATTCATTTGGCCTAACATGGTGAATTGTTTATGCTTATATCCTAGTAACATGGGGATAGTAAGTACAGTTGTGTCAGGGGCATGATTATGAGAATGTTGGTCCCGCAGACTAAAACTGGGATTTAAGGAACGGTAAATTGGTGGGTTTTCATTATTGTGTCACATGTCCTGTCAGGAGTTCAAGGTGAAACAATGACTGTAAATTAAAGCTTCATAACAATCTTGGAAACGTTGTAACTATCAGAAAGGCCATTTAGTAGAGAAGCAATGTGCTAATTAAGGAACACAACTGGACTGTAAATTCAGAGAAGCCCCAGGGAGAAGGAAAAGCCACATTTGCCTCATTTGTATATTGTAACATAGAGGCTAAACCCAATGGAAAACTGAACCATATTTAGTATAAACCCAGAAGCTGCCCTTTTGCTGGGCAAAGTACCAAGAACTGGGGGAGTGAGAGAGGGGGAATCTGTCTTGAAGAAAGAAAGATGAGAAGATGTAAACTCAAAAGAGAGCTCTCCGGGACAATACAGGAGGCTTTAACTAATACTCCTCAGGCACATAGTGACAGGGCAATCTACAGCGCTCACGGGATTTCTTTTTCAGTAGCAGTGGATGAATGCAGAATCTGGTTCGTGCTTTCTTGGCGTTGCCAAACACATACTAAAATCATATAATCATGTCATGAATTTATCTACAGGCCCGAAGGGCTGATGAGACATGGTTGGAAAAATGGTCGTCCTTGGAGATTCCAGCTCTGTTTGTAAGGGATTGATCACCTGCATCTGCAAGTGTAACTGCAGGAGGACTGACAAACTCTGAAATTAGAAGAAATTGACTCAGAGTGACCCTAGTTATCTCTGACAAGTGAACACCTCCGAAAAGCAGACATTTTGAAATGGGAAGTGGGGAGGAAAGGGAATTCGGAGTGGTTTAAGGGTGCCAGAGGTGTCACCATGTAAGGGTCAGTCCAGATCCCAACAGAGGGGAGACAGGACAGAAAGAGTGCATAACCATTGTTTCTACAGGAAAGAACTGTTACTTTTATCAGCTTTCTCTTACCAGTACAAAGTCCTGCATCGGGGAATTATGAATAAAAAACAGCAGGACCATCTGAAACCACCTGAGTTTTCATATATTACAATACAGGCAGTATCTATGGACTTACTGCCTCTCATGCTTTCTCCCTTTTTATTTTAGCAAGATGGACATATGAACAGATTTTTGTTGTTACTGCTAATTTTCTGTTTCCAATTTCTAGCAGAAATATTAACTCCTACGTACCAATTTAAGGAGGCAGTAGTATGGGAATTCAAAGTAAATGTAAATTAAATGTTTGGAACAAACTATTCTATTTCCCAGAGAATAAATGTTTGAACTAAAATGACAAAATGAC